GGCGGCCCCCCTGCCACAGGCACCCCGCTCCCCCCGCCTCCTCCCAGCGCTCCTCCAGGGGGGCTTAAAAATTGAAACAGTTCTAATTAGGGGGTCTGAGGGGGAGCGAGGCTGGCTCCTGCTGGGATATGACACACCTCATTACGTCGCTACCGCCTTGCCAAAAGACCCCCTGCTGTACCTTGGCTATAGAGCCAGGGCACTCAGAGAGGATGCAAATTAGCCAGCTTTTCCCCTTCGTCTTCCTTTCACACCCCACTCCCCAAATCACTTTCTGCCTCCCCTCCCATAAGGACACCAGGCTGTGAATTCTTCTTGGCTCTTCCAATTACATCCAAGAAATAAAAAGGGAATGGAGAAAGTCAAGAGACAAAAAAAATGAGGATAATACAGCAGCAGAGGGATGAGAGTGAAAGACTGAAGCAGGAGGAAGGAGTGATCCAACACGGGGGGACATATTGCAAAGTACCTCCAGAGATAACGTGGTATCTGCTCTCCAGATAATCAGCAAGGAGTAAACTTCGGTGGTCTCAGACACAAATAGAGGGGTCTGGGAAAGATAACAGGTCCTCAATCGCCTAACCACTCTAAAAGAAACCCATTTAGAAGAGGCCTTCCATACATGAAGTTCTGGCAGATGACCAGGAGCTTGGGTGGAAGAGACTGGAGAAGATAGACGAGGAGATTTCCCAGCTCAGCAAATAGCCACCCTCCTGCAGAACAACCGCATAAACGTCGACTCCAGCACGCCCAGGTGGATCTGGTGGCAGACATGTGTGACATATTAGCCAGGTCCCACTCCCAGCTCCACCCGAAAGACATGGGGGAAGGCAGGGCAAGGTTGGTCCATGCTTCCCCTCTTTCCGAGAGCCTTTATAGGGGATGGAGATGACCGACTGAGTGCATTCGTTAAGAGCTGTGACCTTGGCATTAGATCCAAGACACAGGGACTTCCCTAGGAGTATGTTCAGCCAGATCAAAGACAGATGAGCCATGTCTCTGCCAGCAACCACAGGACATTTTGAAGCCAGACTGAGGGGTGGTGGGTTCATCCCCAGCTAACAAGTACCCCAGGTACCAGCAGAGGCTACAAGACCTTCACAGTACCTCGCAGCCTGTATGTGAGATGGTCACTGAGACGGAAGAGCTCCAATGCCTCCGTTCCTGGGAAGGCTAGAGAAGCTGGAAGGAAGATATCTTTCTGCTTCTGCTCAGATGGGTCAAAGAGAAAAATCAAAGGAACAGGCATAGCCATGGAGCACTGCTGAAGTAAGAGATCTTCTCACCATGGTGACGGGAGACCAGGGGAAACAGTTAACCTGGAACCTAAATCAGGGTTTCAGAAACACAGCTCTGTCCCTCTCTTACTAGTTTATTAAAGCCATCTTAATCTTCTTGAGTGTTCCTGAAGAACATTACCATAATCCTTTAATCACACCTCTCCCTGGAGTGCCTGTAATGAGGAGATGGGCACACGGCTTAGCTGAATGGGGACAGCCAAGCAGGAGAGGCCACACTGCAGCCGAGGGACAGAAAGGTGGGCAGAGCTTAGTACACAGGCTGGGCCAAGTGCTGCTCATCAGAACTCTGTCCCTGGCATCACCTCCATGGGCATGTGTGTCAGGCAAGGGGTGCTGGCCACACAAGTCACGAGCATGATAGAGATGCGCGCAGCAAGCCGGGCTAAGGGCAAGTGGTCAACCTGGCTGTGACCCTCTTCAGGTCAGGCCAGGCAAGAGAGCAATAAAACCTGAAACACAGCCCAGACTGAGTCTATCGGTGTGGCATGATGGACCATGGGAACTCACCCCCGTGCTGGCCCAACACAGGTCACTGAGGTGGAGGCCACTTCCCTCAATTTCTTGTCTTGCACAAGGTCCCCAGCTGAGAGACGTGGTATGGGAAGGGCACAGATCTGGTTTCTCTTGTATGGAAGACATCAACTGGAAGGCCAGCACATCTCTGTAGCAACCATAAACTTCACTAACCGGCATGTCCACTCTTTGCACCAAGCTAGTAGTTGTGTCCTGGAGAGCTCTATCCTCCACACACAGAGCAGTTGAGGAGATGCTCTCCTCACTGCCTTGGGCAGGCCAGCTTTGCTGTGGGAACCAGCTCTAACCCCATGAACGCATTTCCATCATGTAAGTGAGGCTGGATCTACGGCACACTCCCTCTGATGCTCATCACCTCATCACAGGAGCATGCTCTTCTGGTGGCATCTCCACCTTGTGTTTACCACGGGATAAGAGCACCACAGAGAAACGCCTGCTCATTTGTCCCCAGTAACCCAGGAAAGCAGCTGTTCCCAGAGAACTGCCGTCTCCAACAGGGACCCAGCAGCACTGAGCTAAGTGACCTGGCTTTTCCTCCTGCAGCCCACCTGGGGAAATATCTGTGTCCTCTGAGCCCTGCGGTGAGCTGCTGCCTGGCCAGGGCTCCTCCATCCATCCTGGTCAGCCCTGCCACCAGCCCCAGGCTTGCCACTGGGTCACTGGAAGGACCCCACCAGCCCCCAGCTCTCCAGACACTTATTAAGATGTAAAATGCAGCGCTTTTGCCCAGCCATCCACCCTTTTTTTTTTCCCTCCCCATCCCCTCATTTCTTTCAAGTGCTTCGGCACTTAGCGAACTCCCCTCGGCAGGCTCATGCTGTTTGAGGGATTCCTAAATCACGGGCCTAGTACTAATTATTATTATTTTGCAGCAGCAATCAGGGACGCGGGGCTCATTAACAAGTTAGCACCTCTGGTTTCCCTGGAAACCTGCAGCTGCCAGGCAACGGCTGCGTCTCCGGCCCGAGGCGATGCTACTGCAGCGCCTTTGGCTCACTCCGGGAAAGATGCTCGG